TTTGTATGCTGGGATGATGCTTAAGGAAAGAATGTAAATTAAGTTACAAAAAAAAAAAGTTTCAGGAAAAAAAAATCCATTCAATGACCACAGTAAGATATATAGCCCCAGCTAGGTGCTACTTTATAGGATGCCTAAAGTTAGACTCATGTTCATGGAAATGTATATATCAGCTGTGTTTGCTATGAAAATATTTAGATTAATTAAGATCTTTAGTAATTCAATAAAAAATGGGGGGAAAACAGTATAGAAAGTAAACTTAGATACCAGAGACAGTGTGGGAAGAGAGTGGGAGATGGCAGAGGGTAAGAGATAGGGAATCAAGGATGGGGGGAAAAAAAAGCAAAACATACAGAAAACAAGAAATGGAAAATTATTTGTTGACAATAACATGTATGTTGATGTGCTTGATCAAGACAATATACAGTGTACTCTGGATAGAAAATCTCATTTTGTATGCTGTAATGATGTACAGTGAATGAATACAAATAAATAAATTTAAATAAGACATTAAAAATATGAGATAGATACTGTCAGAGAAGAAACACGATTTTTTTTTAAGTAACAAATAATTTTTACTCATTTCACATATAGCTAAGCGAGCTAGGTTGAATAATCTTTATTATTTTGTATCCACTCAATCACAGAATATTTATAATGAATGTATGAACATATAATTCAACCTATGCAATATTAAGAATATTTCTGTAAATATTTTAGATGAGAGACTACTGAATTAGAAATTCAATTTTTAGAGTAAAAACATTAGAAATCTTTATATTATACTAAAAGAAATTCAAAGATCATACTTTTGAAATCAAGCCTTATATCAGCAAACTCTCAAAGATTTCTATGTGATATTCATGAATCTATAACATGCTATAAAAATGCTTATAGCAAGAAAACCTTAAAATGAGACAAACACATGGAAAATATATTAGAAAAATAGTTGAGTGATTTACTTTCCTGAAATCCTCTTCAGCAAATATAGCCATAGAAAAGTAGCAATTGGCAATAAGAGTTCCATTTTTTTTCTTATTTCTGAGAGTTCCATTTTTTTTTTCTTTTTTTTGGAGAGGTTTTCGCTATAGGGCGTGTGCGCTCACCAGACAGACAGAGAGAGACATAGAGACAGAAAGCGAGAAATCACCCTCCAGGGAGGATGGTCACGCTGCAATCCCTTCTCCTCCATTCTCTTCTTGGGATCTTGGGCACGCACGTACATGGGCCCACCGTGAGTTTTAAGCCACTGGGTCCAGGACGCAAACCGCGGCCGACTACATGGGAGTCCAGCGACATAGCCATTATGCTAACTGCTGGTTCCCCAAGTTCCATTTTTTTTTTTTTTAATGTGTGGAAACGATTATTAATAATTACACATTGCTTCCTGGTAAGCAAGTTAAACTAGCCTTTTTGAGTGCTTTTGGAGGTCCCCTTTGCACTAGCCTGCTATAAAAGTTTATTCATTAAAAAAAAAAAAAACGCTCCAAAAAATAAATTAATTAACCAATCACAAAAGGATATAAACTATATGATTTCACACTTTTATAAGATACTGAGAGTAGTCAGTTTCAGAGACAGAAAGTACAATGCTGGTTGTCAGGGTCTTGAGGGAGGGGTGAATGGGGAGCTGGTGTTTGAGGGGTGCAGAGTTTCAGTTCTGCAAGACAAAGAGTTCTAGAGATGGGTGGTAGTGATGGTAAGACAACAATGTGAGTATACTTAATGCTACTAAATAGCACACTTAAAAAGGATTAAGATGGTAAATTGTATGTTATGAATGTTTTACCACAATTCAAAAAAAACCTGAAAAAATATCAGTATACCCTCAGTACAGCTGGTTCTAATTATCTCAGATTTTAGGATTTCCAATGTTAATCAGTTTAATGATAACCCACAGTCCTTGGATTTTCAAGAGATTGGACAACATGCACCTGAATCGGACCTCGGGCCCTTGCGCAGAGCAACACAATCCACTGTGCCCACCAGCACTGCTGTATGCCACTGGATGCACAGGCATTTTGCCGTACCCTAACAACCCGTGCTGGCCATGGTTTTCCTGGGGCACTGATGGCAGAGAGACACTCTCTAGTCTTCTTGGATGACAAGGTATTTTCTTCCTCTTTTGACAGTGTCCCTCCGTTTGACTCAGATGGAGAAACTGTTAGTTGGCTGCTCCAGAAACATGGTATCCACAAGAGCCTGGCCATAGTGACTTCAGGGGACAGGTGGGTCCAGGAAGGATCATGGCCACAGGCCCAGAGATTTGCCCTAGGATCCCTTAGTAGTGGTGGAGACAGAAAAAGAAAAGACTCTCACCTTGAAGTCAAGACACTTCACCTTTCTACTACAGAATGAAATGGATAGAACTAGAGTCAGCAAACAAAGTTTCTCACTTTGCTCATCCAGAGAGTACCCAGGCCTTAGTTACTGAGAACATAGAGGTACCTGGTTCCTAGTGATGGGACCCAAGAACTGCAAGCCTACAGACCCATGGCCTGAGGGCTAGACCTGCACTATAGATGTACTGGTTGGACCCACACAATGCTGGCCTGCACAGTGATTGCAAAGTTTCTTTTTTTTTTTTTATTTTTATTTTTGCTAGAGGGTGTGTGTGCTCCCAAGACAGAGAGAAGAAGGGAGAAGAGAAAGCGCCTCCCCATAGAAATGGTCATGCTGCCATCCTTTCTCCTTCACTTCTCCCTCCTTTTACAATTTTGGTCATGCATGCATATGTGCCTGATGTGTTTCTCAAGCTACTGGGCCTGGGACTCAAACCATATGGTTGGCCATGTGGGATCCCACTGCCTTAATCACCTGGCCATAGAACCAGCCCAAGAAATTTCTAAATTAGTTACCAACATCTAAAAATCAGGATATTTTGACCCAAAGGGAAATCTCTTCCAATTCACTTGAGGGGAAAATGGAAGCTCTGAGCCACGCTGGGTTTACCCTGTATGAAAACTGGTTGGAAGCAACCAACAGCTACCTCTTTTGATGGATCCTCTCCCCAGTGACTCATTATATGCCTCACCTTCCTGCTCCTTGACTTGTAGTCCCAGGATGGACTGCAAACAACTTGTGCTAGCGAGGCTCCCTGCGAGCTCTTGGAAACACTCTGTGACCACACGCCAGCTCACCAGGCAGCAGCTCCACTCAGTGGGCCTCACAACAGTGTCATGTCAAGATGCAGGTCTGGGCCTGGGGTTTACTCCTTGACCCCAATGCAATACAACTGCCCCTCAACCATGTTTCCAGGCACCATCAAAACGCAATACGCTGTTCACCCTCCTCGTTGGAAATTTTAAAAAGGAAGCGATGCTCTTGAGGGTGGGTCAACAGTCATGTCACGCCTGCCTCCTTAGAAGTCAACACTACATGCTTCAGGGAAGATAGCAGAGACCCCCACACAGAGCACCTCACGGTGCAGCACCTTTCTCTGGATGGCCACAGCTGGAGGACAGAGGGAAGCTTCTGGCTGCTATCTGTATTTGCTATCTCGACAGTGGAGGGATGCTGGAGGCCAAGCTGGATATCTAAGAAGGTTACACATGCATGGGGGGAATCCTTCAGGGTTGACAGGACTAGGGGAAGATTGAGACCAGTGCTCCTCTTACCTGCGGAAGGCACGCTAACATTATACTGAGGTAAAATAAATAGGAAGGCAGTCTTGGCTGTGACCTGTAAAACAAAGGAAAAAGGTTCCAGTTTAACTTCTTGGCCACATCAAAACAAAAAAAGCATGTAGAGCCTCCTACCAGTCCCCAGGGCCCATTTCTTTTATACCGCAGTCCCACAAATCTCACTAATGAAGAGCTTTACCCAATGCACAGTTAGAACCAGTTTCTGTTCCACTTTTCTTAAATGACATCCCTCCTGATACCTTCCCTAAAACAAAATCCGAGGCCCCAGGTGGTCCCTAACTTGTACTCACTGCAGACAGAATGAAACACACTGCCCAGCAGGCTGAGCACGCACCAGCAAAGGCTACCGATGTGTCTGCTGTTCATTTCTTCCTTCATTTATGCATTTATCAAACTCGGTCTATGCAACCAGCACTGTGGAACAGGAAACTAGGAGACAGTGAGGTCATGGCCTTCAAGGAGCTTAAGACCAGGCTGGGGTGCACCCAGCACTTCAGGTTCCTGCACATTGGACAGCAGACTCGAAAGTCTCAACCTGAGCTTCAGAAACAGAGAAATCCAGCTGCTAATTTCACATCTACCCTACCCTACACCCACACCGCTAGTTTGTTTATTTCAAAAGCTATCTTTAAAATCCTAGTTGTGCTGTGAAAAACAAACAAACAAACAAACAAAAAACAACCTCTGGTTGCCACCTGATCACTAATGGCTAAATCAGGACTGTGACAGTTTAGCCAGGAGGAGAAATTATGAAATGTGGAGATTTGAGGCTTGAACCCAAGAACTGACTGCCTGAGTTCAATGCTGACTCTGCCATTTGCCAGTGGTATTACCACAAGCAGTCAATCTTAGACCCCGAACCTTGCCATAAATTCAGGGCTATCTGTAATACCTGCACTGGCATGGCTACTACAGACTAGGGTGAAGCTGGCTGGGCTGTTAGCATGGTTGAAAGCTCCCGGATGCTCCCGATGTACTACCCATTCTGTTCTGAGATACGCCAGGTGAGCAGGCCCAGAACCAGGCCTTTTCCAGAGACACTTCATCATTAACGTATTACCCATCCTCCTCTATACTCAGAAGTTTGAAAGAGGCCTATGTGTGTGCGCACACAAATACACCAGGTTGTGACCAAAGAAATGAGAGAACAGTGTGTGCAGTTTCAGATTCCCTATGTCACTTGACTCCTGACACGCCAGTCCTTCGTCTACCATCCAGTCCCTTCCATTATTTATTTTTAAAATTTTGTCAGAGGGCACATGCACTCACTTGGAGAAAGAGAGGGAGAGAAGATGAGAAAGCACCCCCTTGGTCAATGGTCATGTCACAATCTCTTCTCCTGTTTCTCCCTCCTTTTAAGATTTTGGGCATATACACACATACACCCAGTGTGTTTTGCAAGCTGCCAGGTCCTGGACTCAAACCATGCAGTCAGCCATGTGGAATCAGCTCATGTAATGACCAAGCCACCCTAGAACCTATTACTCTGGCCCTCAAGACTGTTTCTAGTGTTTCCAACCTACCTTCTAATCCAATTCCTACCCCCGCCCCTTTTTTGACAACAGTCAGGCTTGGTTCCAGTCAAAATGTTTTACTTGCTACTTCCTTTGGAGGTTTTAGACCCTTTTTTCTTTTCTCTTTACTCTTTTTTTTTTTTTTTTTTTTTGCTATAGGGCACATTCACTCATCAGAAAGAAAGAGAAAGAAAGTGAGAAATTTCCCCCAACCCCCACCCCCCGGGGGGAAGATCACTCCACAATCCCTTCTCCTCCATTCTCCTGATTGGGATTTTGGGCATGCACACACATATTATATCTGGCATGTTTTTCAAGCTGCCAGGTCTGGGCCTCAAACTGCAGTCGGTCATATGGGATCTGGTGCCTTAACCACCATGCCACCTGCTGATCCAGCGTTTTGTATCCTACTTCTCCTATACCCTCCAACACACCAAGTTCTGTTGACTAGAATCTCCTCATCCTTCTCAACCCAGCTCAACAGTACCCTGCTCCATGAAGCCTTCCCCGACAGCGCACAGGATGTGATCTCTCCCTCACCGGAAGCATGCTGCACTATCCCCCTCTGTATTCTCATTCCACATATTTGTTCGGCGTTTTCATTAGGCTGTCACCTCTGTGCAGAAAGGGACTGTGCTCTCATTCTTCCTCTGTGCTCTCATCCTTCCACATCTGCTGAGTCAAGCAACTAAACTACATAGATACAGCAGTGCTCAGTAACTGCTCACTGAATATGATTAAAAATAAAGAGGCGACTGTACTTGTCCCCACCCTATGAGAGCCACCTCTAGAGGCATCACTCAGGCTGTTTTCTGTCCCCAAGAGCCTTCGCCTTGAGACCTGTCCAACTGCTAAACCACTGGACCCAGCTCCACCACAAAGCCCCTCCTGCCCCAGCAGCTCTCCCTCTCTGAACTCCACTCACAGTGTCATCCTTGGCCCAACCACCTAACTCCCCATATTGCCTGCTATGACTCGTGAGAAGATAAACCGTGTCTTCTCAGATCAAAATCCCTCCAAGAGAAGATCAGAGGTAATGGAGGAAGTGGAATGAAGGGAAGAGAGATGAGAAATGTAAGCAAAGAAAACACGAGTGGTCTTCAAAAAGGTCATAGAATTGTATATTTATGTTACAAAAAAAATGCATGGATTTGTAACTTTTTTACAAAATAAACTCGGACTTTCATTCCATTATTCTATGAACTTTCTGAGATTTCCTCACATTTACCAAACACTCTCCACAGAAATCTCTCACTTGATTTCACTTGGGAAATGCACTTGTCTTTCAGGACCATGGGGTAGAGTGGGCCTCTGAGTGGCTATCTGGCATCTACTCCCTTTTCCTTATGGCACCTGGAAAACACCCAAGGGAAACACTCTCCCCAACCGTGTTTGGGCAGGTATATGGAGGTCCCTTGTGGTGACCACCCTACTCCTGGAAGAACGGGAACAGACTTCTCCCCAGGATGGAGCCCAACCAGTCAAACACCATCTCCTACACTTTAGATCTTGGAGGAAGTACTGATCAGAGTTCAACCCTGGCTATACATTAGAATCTCTGGAGGAACTTTTCAAATCTCTTGTGCCTGGGCTACTCTCCAGGCAATTAAACCAGACCTTTGGGGTATTGGCATTTCATCAAGCTCTCCAGAACATTCCAACTTGCAGACAAGTCTGAGAACTATTACATTTTCTTAGAAAATAAAGACCCACTGGGCATGTGTGCGTATGTACCCAAGATCCCGAGAGGAGAATGGAGGGAAGGGATTGCCGCGTGACCATCCCCCCTGGGGGGTGATTTCTCGCTTTCTGTCTCTATGTCTCTTTCTGTCTGTCTGGCGAGCACACGCGCCCTATAGCGAAAATCTCTCCCAAAAAGAAAAAAAAAAAAGAAAATAAAGACCCTGGTGTATGGGCTCTTCATATTCTTGCCCTTCCCCTGCATATACAGTCAAGGCTTGTTATTTGCAGTAGCTAAGTTCTGTGAAGTTACTGCAAACAGTGAGTTAGCGAATACTGAAACACTGCTCCTAGGAGAAACACAGAGTTCAGTTCCTATAAGCCTCTGGTCATGTTTTCATGTGTGCGTATGTACCCAAGATCCCGAGAGGAGAATGGAGGGAAGGGATTGCCGCGTGACCATCCCCCCTGGGGGGTGATTTCTCGCTTTCTGTCTCTATGTCTCTTTCTGTCTGTCTGGCGAGCACACGCGCCCTATAGCGAAAATCTCTCCCAAAAAGAAAAAAAAAAAAGAAAATAAAGACCCTGGTGTATGGGCTCTTCATATTCTTGCCCTTCCCCTGCATATACAGTCAAGGCTTGTTATTTGCAGTAGCTAAGTTCTGTGAAGTTACTGCAAACAGTGAGTTAGCGAATACTGAAACACTGCTCCTAGGAGAAACACAGAGTTCAGTTCCTATAAGCCTCTGGTCATGTTTTCATCAACAGATTGATACATAACTTTGTTTTATGAGTATTCTGTTTAAAGAAACCTTATTTAACATACACCATTGATTCTAACAATAAACCAACAACCAATAGCACCGTCACGCACACTTGAACAAAGCTTATCCAGTACATATATTTTCTCCATAAAGCACATTGCACCTTCTTTTAGCTTAGCAACACCAGCCAACACTGCAGCACTACAGCTGGGGGCCGTTCGAAACAGAGAGACCACCTGAAGAAAGCCCCCACATGTGGAAAACGTGGCACTAAACAGCTGCTGAAAAGGACGCTAGTTTATAGGATGAGACTGAGGAAAGGCGGCAGAGCTTCACCTTGCTCGACCTCGGCCGGAAAGTGTGTACTGGGTGACTCTAAGTTTTTGCCACTCTGTGCATGTCTATGAATGACCACGAAAATAGAATATTGATTTCAGGGTCACAAATAAACTTTAGCAAGTGAGCAAACACCCAAAAACAAAATCCAGGAGTAACCAGGACAGAATGTATTCCAAATGTCAGCTCCATGAGTGCCAGGAGGTCTTCTTTTTTAGCAGTTTTATTAAGGTATAAGTTACACACCACAGAATTTCATCCATGGCAAGTTTCAATCTCAAAGAGGTTTATCTTCATTATTTTTAAACTGTTCTCCTCCTTCACGGGCATATAAATTCTCGGAAAGTGGGGATCTTTGCCTTGATTATCTTTAATCCACAGCCTCCAACAAACTGCTAAGAACAGAGCAGCACTCAATAAACACTTGTTAAGTGAGCACAGGGATTAGGTACACGTACCCACCTGATCCTCAGTTCTGCGTCTGAGAATCAGACAGCTGAGTGCATTGCTGGTTTATCTCTCTATACCCACGTTTATACTCTCTCCCATGCACGTCCTCTCTCTCCTGGGTTGGTACTGTACACACAGTAGGTATTTCAGAAATACATATTTGATGAATTCATGTTGCAAATAGCTGCCATATTTAGTAACCACAATGAACACTTCACACACGTTTTCCTGAGCATGGCTCAGAGAGTATAGGATATAGGACCTCGATTAAGGCAAAAACACCAGATTCCAGT